TGGCTTAGGCAGAATAAGGCACAGATCCATTTCGACGCCGCCATCCTAACATTGGACAGGGTAGGGATAATGTTGGGAGAGGATAATTATGAACAATTGTCAGTGGTGGCCCAGATGGATATAAGGCTTCCTCCTAGGACTACTGTATCTGGGAAGGGCAAGATTATAACAGAAGGAGTGCTGAACAGTGACCTGTACCAAGTGGTCCCTACTGACAGGTATGATAATAGTGAAGGGGAAATAACTGTGTGCGATTCGTTGGTGAAGAGGGGACCGTTCCCTTACTGTTAACTAATACTGCCAATAAAACTATTAAAATAAAGCAGGGAGAGGAGCTGGCACAGGCGTGCCCAGCGAGAGAAGTTGAACAGGTGAGAGTATGGAATGAGAATAGGCCTGGGAATAAGACAGGTAGCAATGAAATAAGGGATGAAGATATAACAGCTCCTGAGCATTATAGGAGGAAATTGAGGGGGTTGCTGAACGGTAATCAGGAGGTAATAGCCATTAGGGACAGACGGAGACAGTTGAAATGAAGATAGACACAGGTAATCACCCACCTATTAAGTTAAGACCGTATAGGACCCCAATCCACAAAAGAAAATTAGAGGACACAGTGAATGAAGTGATGGTATCAGGGATGATCGAAAGATCCAAATAGTAATTGTTGAAAAGAAAGATAGAGGGCATAGGTTTTGAGTGGATTTTTGTCAATTAAATGCCATTATGAAACCGCTGGCAGTGCCCCTCCCCTTAATTGATGATATTCTAGCTCTTTTAGGAAAGTCTAAATATTTTTCCACCTTGGATTTGAGGTCGGGATATTGGCAGGTAGCACTTAGCAAAAAGGATCAGGAAAAAACCGCTTTTCCCTGCCACATGGGCCTCTTCAATTTTAGGGTTAATTCGTCCTCGGCCAGATAACATAAAAGAATGAGGGGGGACTTGCATTGCATTTTTATGCAATAAAGATGCAATGCATTATGGGACATGGACGCAATGAACTATGGGATCATGGGTATATGGACAAATATAAAAGCAACTACTTTTTTCCCCAGGGGGGCAGTTCTTCGAGTGACAGTCTGTTAGTGTGATTTTGAGACAAGAAGGAACGACTCAAGGTTGAAATACCAGCTGGGAGAGCTTGAATTTACTCGCTGGTTGCTGTTTTTCTTTATTCGCCTCAAGCTATTTCAGCATATTGATTCTTCAAAATGGAAGGCAAGGTCTTTGACGTCTGTTTGATTCCAGAATTCAGTGGCGCCCCAACGGATATGCCCATTGTTGAATGGATAGAAAATGTGGAATTGGTCTGCAAACTTTGTGCCATGGACAAGATCGAGCGATCTTGCCTCTACGATTGAGGTGGTGCCCTTGCTGTGTATAGACAACTCAGTGAAGAGCAGAGGGCAGACGCGGAACAAATTAAACCCCCTTATGACTGCATACGCGCGACTGACAGATTTAATGCGCTCAACCAATTTATGGGACGGCGCCTTCGACCAGGGGAAACGGTGGATGAATTCCTGGCTGAAAATGCATCGTTTACGCGGCATTAATAGGAGAACCGCTACTTGATCGGTGGATGGCATGTGCATTTGTGTCAGGGCTGCCACATCATGTTAGGCAGCTTCTCAAAGCTTTGTCCAGGATGGAAGACATGAATCTAGAACAGATTCTGACCCGAGCAAAGGCTATTATGACGGATGACGAAGAGTGCCAGGTATTGGCCGCCGCATCCGTAGAGCTACTGCGCTCAGAAGCTGAGGTTCCCCCTGCCAAACCTGTTAGCAAAACGATTAACTGCTACAAGTGCTCTGGACCCAACCATATGGCGAAGAATTGTACACAAGGACGTCAGGAGAGGTCAAACAGAATGCAGAGGTCTGGCTGCGACAAGCGGTGTTTTCGATGCAATGGCATTGGACACATTTCCTCAGAATGCCAGGGAAACGCCCGCCTTCTCCCCGAGCAAGTAAAAACCCGGAAGTTACCCACCGTACAAGTATTTGTAAATGGAGTAGAGTGCACAGCTCTAGTGGATTCGGGATGCTCACAGACGCTGGTGAGCAAGGCTGTGTCACTGCTGGAAGCAGGAAGAGGTGGGAGTGTTGACTGCCGACGGAAGGACCCTGAAGTGCCGTGGATACGGTAAAATTAAGTTGGGCGTCGAGCAGATTCAGCTCATGACTGTTGAGGTTCTGGTCGTGGAAGGGCAGTTGCTAGGATTCAATCTTCTTCTCGGGATTGATGCAATCAAAGTGCTCGGAGGTGTTCACTTGACCGAATCAGGTGAAGCGCATTTCGGAAACCTGAACACGTGCCGCCATTCTTATCAACAAGCCTGACTTTAGAGTGACGTTTAACCCGAGCACGAAAACGTGGACTGCATTGTGGAAGTGGGCGAGTGGTCATTTCACTTAGCAAGTTGGTCAATAAAGTACAGGAGTACACAGTACCTGGCCACATCTGGGATGCATACGATGAAGAACTAGCATGGTGGCAGCGAGACAGATGGCTACTGCCATATCCCGAGAAAGAGCTTGGCCCACCCAAGGGATTAATTCCCTTAATGGCGGTTGTACAAGAACACAAACAGAAGGTCCGGCCAGTACTTGACTATCGGGAGTTGAACGGCTTTGTAGATGCATTCACGGCTGACGCAGAGGTGTGTGCGCAGAAATTACGAGAATGGCGACGACAAGGAGCTGACGTATCACTGTTGGATTTGAGAAATGCGTACCTACAGATTCACATTGACAAATCGCTATGGCCGTTTCAAACAGTGGTCATTAAGGGTAAGCGGTTTTGCCTTACGCGTTTGGGTTTTGGCCTGAACTCAAGAAGGAACGACTCAAGGTTGAAATACCAGCTGGGAGAGCTTGAATTTACTTGCTGGTTGCTGTTTTTCTTTATTCGCCTCAGGTTTATCACAAACAAAGAAGGAATAAAAACAGATTTAGACAAAGTTGAGATTATAAGAGCCATGCCTGCACCGAAGACCGGGGATTTATTGGAGCCATCAGATATTACCAGAGGTTCCTACCAGCATTTAGTCGGCTAGCATGCTCTCTAATAGCTCTAAGAAGCGTGCTAGGTTTAAGTGGACTAAGGATTGTCAGCGTGCATTTGAGGCTCTAAAGGATCGGCTGACAGCTGTACCGCTGTTGACCTACCCAGACCTGAGTAAGCCCATGGTGCTGTACATTGATGCGAGCAATAAGTGTATCAGGGCGGTTCTTACTGATAGGGATGGACCAGTACCGGGTGTACCTGAGGAAGTGCCGATCTATTTTCTGTCTCATCGGCTCTCCGAAACTCAGAAAAGGTGGCCAGTAATAGAAAAAGAGGCGTCCTGTATGCTGTGCAGAAATTAGATTATTATTTGAGTGGGGCTGTGTTTACCATTAAAACAGACCACAAACCCCTCAAGTATGTGTTAGAGGCAAAGTGGACGAATAAGAAGATACAACAGTGGGCATTGAAGTTAAGTGGGTATAACTGCAGAATAGAATATTTGGCAGGGAAGGATAATACCTGTGCTGACCTGTTATCGAGGATTCCATGGCAATTAGAGACCGAATCTGTCAGGTTGGAGACGGGTGTGGATGATAAAGCATTCCAAATTAATGTGATCAATTCACAGGCGTTGAAGGAGAAACTTGGTTGGGAAGATCAGGAAATGAGTGAAACAGAGATTGTTTTCCGACCCCCAGTGGAGAGATATTATTAGGCAAAGCCAAGAGGATAGCGAGATAGCAATTATCAGGTCCAGGGTAGAGGCAGGGCGTACCTCAAATATATGGTGCACGATGGAGTGTTGTATTACCTTTCAGGAAGAGATGAGGAAATAAGTTTAAAAATGGTGATACCTGAGAAGTTGAGAGCTGAAATTCTAGACCAGTGCCATAGGAGATTAGGACACCTGGGAATTGATAAGACGTATGGATTAATAATGAGAAATTACTACTGGTCTAAGTTGTTTAATGTTGTTGTGAACCATGTAAAAAAATGTGTAACATGTCAAGTACAGAGTCGAAGGAGTAGGGTTGCCCTAGTATTAGAAACGGGGGTTCAGAATTATCCATTTCAGAAAGTAAGCATGGATATTTCCGGGCCCTATGGAGAAACACATAGAGGTAATCTTTACATAGTGAGTTTTGGGGACTGGCTGACAAATTGGCCTGAAGCATTTGACGGATAAGAAGGCAATGAACGGTGTCAGATATAATACTGAACGAAATATTCCCTAGGTATGGGGCCCCCGAACAGTTGGTTACCGATAACCATCAGAGAATGTGAATCAGATTATGAGAGAGACGTTGGGAGAATTAAACATACAGCACATAACAACCTCTCCATATCACCCCCAAAGTAATGCTAAGGTAGAGAGATTTCATAAGACCCTCACTGATGTGTTAGCTAAACTAACAGAGGATAATAGGGAAAATTGGGATTTATTTGTAACCCAAGCGTTAGCAGCTGTGAGATTCTCAATGAACGAGACGACAAAATTTTCCCCTTATTACTTGATATATGGCAGGGATGTAGTTACAACCTAGGAGGAAGTATTTAGGAGAGGATCATCACCAAATAGTTTTAGAACAATAGCATAAATTTTTTACGCAGGTGAGGAGGAGGATTCAAAGAGCCCAGAAAAGGCGAAACGATAGGGTAAATAAAAATAGAGAAGTTTCCTTCCAGTTGGGTGATCCAGTGTATTATAAAATACACATGAGAGAAGGTAAATTGGACCAGAGATGGAGTCCATACTATAGGATCGTGGAGCAGATGGGCCTGGTTTCCTTTGTGATCTGGGACCAATTGACCGGACAGGTAAAGAGAGTGCATGCGAATGAGCTAGCTGAAATAGGAGAATGGAAAGGAGCCGAAACAAAAACTCAACAGAAAAGGCTGAGGAAAACTACATTGGTAGAACCTGAAGGGTTAGAGACTGAGAGTGAAAGTGAAGGGGAGTGAGGAGATTGAAATTAGCCCAACTACTCTTCGAAGGCTGAGGGAGGTAAGCGGGACATTCTGAGGAAGCAGGGATTGAGCCTAACCTTAGGGAAGAAGAACTGAGTGAATGGGAAGAAGAGGATGAAATTCCATTAGCTCAATTGCAGAGCAAATTGCGGGCTGAAAAAAAGCACCTAGTGTTAATGAGGAATTACCACTAAAATGGCGATTGAGGGGAGTGGTACAGCCTGAGCCCAAGGATAAAGTGAAACCAGTACAGTGGCTGTGGTGAATGAGTGATGGTCTGGGACCAACTGTGCATTTATCATCGGTGCTGGTGAACTGTGTGGACGGACTCCATGTATGCACGGCGCTGGTATGGGTCGGTGCTTGAAGTGTCGCTCTAAGATATAACCACCCGCTAAAAACTATAAGAGAATGATTGAGTAAGACGAATTATTCTCTCCATCTCTTTGCAGACACGGACGAGAGGAGGATCATGGTACTGACGATGCTAGTTATGGTAGCTAATACCTGGGAACACAGTGAGAATACTGTATTTAAGAAGACTACCAAAGTGATTGATAACTTTGGTGATAGACCTGCAGCCATATGAGAAGTTACAGGGTCAGTTGAAGACCGAAGTGGACAAACTAGATACAGCCAGGACACAATTCGCCAGAGACTATTTACAGACTCCGGAATACCACCATATATTATACCCCTTTGCTCAGGAATCCCTAATACTTGAGAGACAATGGAAGGATATGAGTTACTATTTGAAAGGAACAAAGCTGTTACGGATCAGGCAAAAGAGAGCAGTATTACCTATAGTGAGAAAGGCATTAAGCATGTTGTTTGGTACAGTCTCCGAAGAAGAAGTGAGTGTAATTAAGAGGAAATTAAAGGTTGTAGAACAGAGACAACAAGCAATGGCTCAGTTGGTTAGAAAGATCGTATCTATACTCAATGTTACTAGGCTGGAATTGGCTAAGAATAGAAGGAGTATTAATTGGCTGATTTCTCACCTACGGGTTTTTAGAAAGGAAGTGATAAATGTAACAATGTCAGTAATAACCGAATTACAGAAATTAGAGGGGTTTTTGCAAAGGTATTGTCACTTATTAGCTATAATGAGTAAGGTACGTGAAACAAGTCACTCTTTAACGATGTTGTTAGAGCATGTGAGAGCACAATTAGACATACTGTCGCTGGGACACCTGTCTTTGAGTATAATAAGTCCGGAACGATTAAGAGAAGTTTGAAGAGAATGAGGCTTTGTTAGAGCTGGTAGGAACGAATGCTAGTGGATGGATGGGATTGTGGGAATACATTGTAAGAGAGATTCCTAAGATGTCGCTAGAAAAGATGTCGGCATTGTTAAGGCCAATCGATAAGAGTGATCTTGGATGGTTGAAGTTGGAGTTAGATAGGATAGGTACACCGAATTCGGGCTGGAGAGAGAATTGGGTTGCTATAATAACCTGGCCGACTGTTGTGGGAATTATACTAATGATAGTCGTGGCCTTGGTGGTGGTTGAAGAGGCGTGTGGTGTTGTCGACCGGGCAGAATAAACTGGCACGGGAGTGCATGAGTGAAGGAGGGATTCCAGTTAGTGCACTTTACCAAGGCAAGTCCGACCCGAGTGTATTGGGACCCCTAACTGATATTGAAGAAGTGTCCATGATTGTCATGGAAGGACCTGAACCAACAAAAGATTTGACAAAGCCTTTTGTGAAGGCGAGACAAAATTGGAGGGACAGATTTATAAAGTAAATCGAAATTTTTTTTTTTTTAGTAATGAGACTGAAATAATTGGTAAGGAGTGTTGCGAACTTCAAAGAAAAAAACGAAAAGAACCCTCGAACTAGTGAACTATATGAAAAACTGAACTTTAACCAGAAGTTGCATGTACATATGTGTTGTAAAGACAATGAAAATGTAAATGGGCATAATGAGCCCTGAGAAGAACTGAGGACTCTACCTTTGCATGCTGGAAGAGACGTATGTTTAAGTAGCCCCTAGTAAGAAGCATGTTGGACTGGATTTTCTCATATTTTGTTGATATGAAAGCTCGTATGTCATTTATTAGTAAATGACAGATGGGTAGGGGAGGAAATGTAACAGAGAGAGTTTGGGAAATACACACACACACATATATTTTGTTTTTATTGAAATTGGAGTGAATCTAGCTAGTGAAATTAGATCAGAGCAAAGCTGATCTCGCCTTTGGAATTGGGTCATTGAAAAGACAATGGAAATGATCAAAATAAATTTTATCGGTTAAAAATTGAAATAGAGCTTATTCAGGCTATGAGAACTTTGAAACTCACATGATTTTGTGTTGAAAATGGCACTCATGATAATTGCGTGTGGACCAAGGGTCGATTAATGATCAGTCAGATTTATCTATATAAATGCATAGTTATGCTGAAAAAGTGCCAGATGGGAGAGGGAGATGGGAAAGACCACAATGGGTCGCAGTGCTACAAACCAGACGGAAGTGGCAGAGAGTGGTTGGCTGCTCTGCTGTCGAGCGCAGGCGGAAGAGAGAGACGGGAGAGACCGCGATCGGTCGGAACATTGTCGTCACGTGCGTGAGCATACGCAGGCAAACATTACAGGTTGCGGTGCTACACGAGAGACGGAAGAGCCGGACGAAAGAGTCAGACTTACGAGGCAGATGGAAGAGGCAAAAGAGTAGTTGGCTGCTCTGCCGTCAAGTGCAGTTGAGCTGGAGAGAGAGGTTGGAGATTGGGAGTAACGTCAGAGAATTGGAACCAAACGCCCGCTAACATATTTTGTTGATATAAGTACGAAGAAGTGAATTACTCCTCCAATGTCTAAGACTACTACTGCTACTATTATTACTACCACTGGAAACGGAAACGTCGAACAAGCTACAATAATCAAGAGACGCATATCGTTCTGAGACAATTACACAACAAGCTAATCACAACCAACTCTCTAGAATCCAGTGTACGAGTTTTTACGTCAATTATTTTCTTTTCTGTAACTCGTTTCTTTTCTATACTATTCTTTCTGCTATATAAAAGACATTAACAATTTAACGATTGAATAGTTGTTTGTTTGGCTTACTCCAGATATATATTTTTTTTTTGGTGCATTCTAAATTTCTTAGTACAGAATCTCCAGTCGTGTCTACATCTCCAGTTGACCATGAATGGATGAACATCACTCCTGCTTTCTGGATCAAACCAAACACAATGTGGGCAGGAAGCAGAATTAAACCAGTGGACTGGTCAAATGATCTACGGATGCTCAGGAGACCTATGGTCACTCTCTTAAGTTCGGTTAAGACCGAGTAGACACCCCAACCCAGAGAGTAAGACATCAGAGGTTGAGGGGCTAGGGCGAAAGTGGTTAGAAAAAAAGGTAATGTCAAGTCATGGATTTAAGACCCCTTTCTGGATGAAAGAAATTAAAACTAATGTCGAACCCAGCTCCTGCCATTTGTAAAATTTTTTAAAACAGAACGAAAAAATAAAAAAACAAAAACAAAAAGAGAAGTGTTTGCAGTAACAAAGAAATGGATAATTTGCAGTTTAAGCCCAGCAACATCAATTTCCATTTCAGTGTAAATTTACATGCTTATTTTGAAAATAACAGTAAGTTTACAGAAATCTACCATTTTGTGCGGGGCTTAAACTGCGAATTACCCAAAGTGTTTTTAAACATATTATTGTACTGTATTTCACTTGTTTGAATTGTTTTGTTGTTTTTTGAAATGGATAATAACATATGCGAGCCAACAATGTATTGGACTTCAACAAATCTGGTTGATTCTTCAGTGTTGTAAGCTCTATTTCTCTGTGAAAAGCATTCCAGCCAACAAACAGGTTGACTGCATTCTGTTGTTATCTGGAGAAGAAGGTCTAAGAAGATTCAACTTATGAACTTTCATGAACGACGCTGATAAAAATAAGTCACAATAGGCAGAAATTCGAAGAACAATTAGAGCCTCAAGTAAACTTTCACATTGCTTGTTTTTACCTTTGTCTATACACACAAAGAGATACAGAAAGTATCGATGATTTTGTAACAAGGTGCAGGTTTCAGACAAACAAGTGCAAGTTCTGAGATACCATAGACACTGAGGAACGGTTATTAGAGCAGGTCATCTCCAGAAGTAAACACACAGAGCTGCAAAAGCAGCTGCTGGTAAAAGGAGAAGGTTTAACACTTGAGAAAGCCCTGAATGTAGGTAGAGTCCATGAAGCTTCAATAGACCACATGAAGCAACTGGCAAAGATCCAATATGGAAAGTGCCAGGAAATTGACTCAGTAAAATACAGCAGCTGCAAACAATGCAGCAGCATGCATTCCCACCAGAAAGAAAAGTGTCCTGCATGGGGTACTACATGCTCAGTATGTGGATGGAAAAACCACTGGGCTAAAGTCTGTAACAACAGACAAGAAAATAAAGGAAGATGCCCACAAATGCACATCACATAAAAAGGACCCAAATCTAAACCTGGACACCAGGAAACCCATGGAAATCAGCAATACAGGCACCAGGATAAGAAACATAGCAACCATGTTTACTCATTAGATGCTTGTCAGGGTGACCATGATGACATGTATGAACAATTTGCGCAAACGTCATTTGATGCAATTAAGTGGCAAAGTAAAAAAGACACTAGGACTGGGGTTTTTGCAGACCTTGATATCAAAGCTTCCCAGCTTACCAGGCACCCACAAACTAAAAGCCAAGGTTGATACAGGAGCTGAAGGAAATACTCTCCCCTTATGTGTTTTCTGCAAGATGTCTCCTCACAAAGTCAGCACCTCTGGACAGACACTCTCTAGTGCAAACGCATAAAGAGTCAACTGTACTGACTGCATATAATGGATCTCGCATCCTTCAACATGGGTCCATTAACACCTACAAAGGAGAGTGGAAAACACTCAAGTTCTTCATTGTAACCTTAGAGGGTCCTACTATACTAGAACTTCCAACACTCAGAGACCTGAAACTTGTTATGATGCACTGCATCATCCAAGAGAACTAAACTCAGATAAACTCTATGAGAGACATATACTTGGATCAGTTCGGCTGCACAGGCAGTTTCACAGATGAATACCATATTGTCCTAAAATCGGACAACCATCCTGTCATCCACACACCCAGGAAATATCCCATCTATGTGAGAGATGAGATTAAGACTGAGCTAGATGACATAATGAAACAGGGCATCATCCGCAGAGTAAGTGATCCTAAAGAATGGGTTAACAGTCTAGTGTATATTTGCAAGAGTAATGGCAAACTCCGTCTGTAAACACAGATGGAGTTTGCCATTACTCCAAGGATCTAAAGAGAGCAATCATGTGATGTCACTACAAGATTTCCATAATCGAGGAGCACATGCACAGATGCCAAATACTTTTCCAAACTGGATGCTAAGAATGGATACTGGTCGATCAAGCTGGATCCTGAATCACAGCTACTGACCACCAACTCTCCTTTTGGAAGTTATTGCTTCCAGAGAAATCCTTTTGGCCTAATCATGCCCCAGTATGTATTCCAAAGAAAATGGATATGATTCTGGAGAAATGCCCTGGTACATTAGGACTAATAGACAATGTCATAATTTATGACATAACCAAAGAAGAACATAACCAAAATCTGCATAACCTGATGAAGATATTGCAGTTTGAAGGGCTCAGGATTAACAGTAACAAATGCACAATCAACCAAAAGCAAATACACTTCTTTGGGCCCATATATAACAAAAACGTAGTACGCCCTGACCCCAAAAAGGTGAAGGAAATTAAGATGTTACCCAGCCCCAAAAGTATGACAGACCTAAAAAGAGTGCAAGGAATCATCACTTACATGGCACTTTCCATTCTGCATCTCTCTGATCTCACATCACCAATGAGAGATCTACTAAAAAAAACAATCTGGGTACAAATGGACTGAAAGTCACCAGAAGTCCTTGCAAGCAATCAAAAACCTGATTTGTAAAGAAATGCTGCTGATGTACTTTGATCCTGAAAAAGAAACTGATCCAGGTAGACACATCCAATAGAGGCCTAGATGCAGCTTTTCTGCAGGAGGGAAAGCCCATAGCATTTGTGCTGAAATCTCTGACAGAAACAGCAACGATATGCTAACATTGAGCAGGAGCACCTAGTTGCTGTTTTTGGATGTGAACGCTTCCAAACATATATCTATGGGTGTGCCTTCCAAGTAGAAAGCGATCGCAAGCCTCTAGAGATGATCAACCTGAAAAACCTGATTGCAGACCCACCTCACCTCCAATGAATGTTATTACACCTACAAGATGTAATAACATTGTCTATCGCCCAGGCAAAGAAATGGCACTAGTGGGTTCTTTTCAGGCTCCCTAAAAAGAGAGTGAAAGAGGCAATCAACCTGAACATAAAAGTCGATTTTGTCCAATTTTCAGCGCAAAAGTTAGCATAGATTTAACAGGCTACTAATGCCTACCCAAGGGACATGATCCTGTGAGGCTGGCCTGATGCATTCAAAGAAGTTGGCAAGGATATGTGACCATACTGGCTCTATCATGATGAGCTAGCTATAGAAAATGGGATCTTGCTCAAGGGTGAGTGAATCATTATCCTAAAATGTATGCAAGAAGTGGTACTTTACAAGATCCACTATAGCCATCAGGGAATTGAAAAGTGCAAGTTGCGAGCAAAAAGCTGTGTGTTCTGGTACAACATCAACCAAGACATCGACAGGTTAATCCAGCTATGAGATGCATGTGAGGAACACCAGAAAATGCAGAGCACTGAGACCTTGATACCACATGAGATCGCAGTAAGACCATGGCAAATAGTAGCCACTGACTTGTTCCACTTTGATGGATTAAATTTTATCCTCATTGTTGACTATTACTTGAAATATCCCTTTGTACAGAAGTTAAACAATCTCTCCAGCCAGGAAGTGATAGACACAACTAAGCAAGTGTTTGGCCAGCAAGGAGTCCTGGAGAGGGTGATCAGTGACAACAGCCCATTAAAATTCAGATGCATTTAAGCAGTTTGCAAAAGAGTGGGGATTTGATCATTGCACATCATCTCCGAAATATCCACAATCTAATCGAATTGCAGAACGTTGCATGCCGTTGATGAATGTGCAAAAGGCAGAGATATCAGTCCATTTGTATAAGAGACAAGCTGGACAGAAAGCATACTATGACCAGCATGCAAAAGATCTTCCAGATATCCAAGTAGGACAGCACATTAGGATGCACAACAAGGACATAAATATATGGAGCCTCGCAAATGTCACGCAAACATGCACAGAACCAAGGTCCTACATCATTCAGACACCACCTTGACAGTCCTTCCACAGGAAACGAAAACACCTGAATGAAGACACATCTAAAGACACTTGGTATCCATCAGAGATTATAACACCCAGAGTGGAAACCAATCCATCACCAAATAACTAAACAAAAATACTTAATACCCCTTCCCAAACCTGCAATCACCATGCTAAACACGTCCCACAGGAATAACATACACGCACTAACACTATAGAAAACAAAACAACTAAATTTGGTTGGATAATAAAGCCACTGGCAAGATTCAGTGAAAAAAAAAAACACAACAAAACATTTTTTCTCTCCAATTTTGGGATTTCTTATTAATAAGAAAATCTGTGTAGACACACACAAAAAAATAAACATTTCCTTTTATTTCTTATAAAAAAGGGGGGGAATCTCTATGTTAACACAACAGATCAGTTATTTTTTTTTATTTTATTCCTTGTGTTTTATGAAACCTGAATAAATTAAATAAAAAAAAAAATTGTGTTAAAAGGGGTTGTAATAATAATAACCAGTTAAGAATTATTGCCCTTAATCTAGGGCACACACCGACACCCAGAATAAAACATGGTATCTTACCCTTAAAACCTATACAAGTGTCTCCTGTCTTCTTTAATTATTACAAGAAGTATAGTAACTTTTTAAAATCTTTTTTCAAACACGTGTATATTAGATTTTTATTTAAAAATAGAAGTGATTCGTTTCAGTTTGCAATGGTCTGTATGATTAAATGTAAAAAAAATTGACTTGATCCATAATTTCTTCAGGAATATAATGCATCTTTAAAATAGCTTTAGATCCAATTTTTGTTATATTATTAACGAAGCAGAAAGTGTGGCAGACACATACAGATGGTAGGTTGGTACAAGTGTATTAATATAAATGATAAAAAATAGAAAATAATCATTAAATAATTAAAAAATGATAAAATAAATAATAGAAAAATAATTACCAAATATATATAAAACAATTTTTAAATAATTGTTAAAACTGTTTAAATGATTAATATAAAAAATATAAAAAAAATGACCCAACATTAGAATTTTAAATGCCTCTCTTACAAATTTGAAAAGTACATGCTCTTTAAAAATGTTACAAAAAAAAAAGCTTAGTTATAATATGTGGCAATATATAAATAAACTAGCAAATATAATATTAAATATTCATAATAAAATAATATAAAAATGTAATAATTCATAATAATAAAAATATTTGTAATAAAATAAACTCACCAGATAATGCTTTTTAAGTGACAACAAAAAGAAAAATCAAATGGAGACAATAATAAATAAAAAAAATAAAAAGTCTATTTTGATAAATGGAAAATAAAAATATATAATATAATAAAAAAGAATAATTAATAGTTAAAGTGTTCATTTATTTGAAGGTCTCTTTCTTTTGTAAGGTTTTGCAGGTCCCAGTCCTTCAGTACTCCAAGTGACTGCTGGTGTTCTTTTCATATGTTTAAGAAAGTCTTGTCTATAATGTAAAAATGGAAACTACATACAGTAAATTTAATATATGAAAAATATATATAAAAAAAAAAATTAAAAGATAATAAAAAAGATTACATCTGATTTAGAATTATCATACCAAGAATATTTTTTCCCATTTTAAATGGGAATTTTGAAGAAAAAGTTTAATTTGGGAGGTGGGGGATAGTTCAAGTCATCTAATACAATTATTTCTTTTATACAGTACTTTTATATTAGTGAAGGTATTTTAAAATTTCATAATCTTGGATAATTTTATGTATTTAACAGCATTGTCTCAGGTCCCTCTGGAAAATATCTTCAGTTGCTATTGTAAATTTCCAGTTCTTAGCTTATGCTTGATATCACCTATTTTATAGGTGAAATATTAGCTCTAATTTAGGTACCTCCACTAAAATCATGATACCTAAGGTTTAAATTAATTTTTAAAAATGAAAAAGCTTTCATTGAAAACTAAAGGATTAAATTTACTATTTCCAGTAAGCAAAATACTCTGGTGTATTTCAAACAGAAATTATATTGATTGGAATTGATTTTCATCTTTTTTTCAGTAACATTGTCAAGTTGTCCATTTTTTTAGGTATTTGTAAACACAAATTAGTTCTTGATGTTAAAAATCTTGCAAAAATAAAATATACTTTTCTGAAACTTTATTTGAGGAATATTAACTGATTTAAAGTATAATTAATACCATTTGAAACAAATATTATTTACTTTAAGTTTAAAATATTGCAAGAATTACTTTTTTAAGCAAACAGTAGCTGTGTTTTTAACCAACAGTAGCTGTGTTGATGAGGTGATGACAGATTGTTGTTCTATGGAGACTTTATCTGTAAAACATAATTTAAGAAAATGATGTGAGCACCTTTTTTTTTTTTTTACATAATTTTTAAGTACTCAATCTTTAAAATTTTGGAAAATATCTGTAATCTAATTTTAGGAATGTTGGCTTTAAATTCACTCTTATTTTCTGATAATTTTGTGTATAATGTTTCAAAAGGGGGCACATTTATACACAAAAAAAGATCTTGGTGTTTGAAGACTGGTATTAAGTTTTACCATTTATGATTAGTAATTATCGTTTTCACTTAATAATCTCATCCAAAAGGCATAAATTAATACAGAATTTTAAAAGATTTAAAAAACTTAATAAATTTTTCTAATTAAAATTTTAAAAAAATGAAAACAATTCTTGTAAAAATTCATTCGTTGAATATTTTTTCTTGAGACAATAGTGTCCTTAATATATCTTATTTATAAAAGCAATGAAAAGCTTTCCTAATAATGTCATAGTTTTATTGCATTTTTTATTTTATGGTTTGGAGCAGATTTTTGGTAAATGTTGTTTGTTTGACAAAAACAAACTGATGATTTAAATTCTTCAAGGAGTCCTACTTTTATCTAATATAAATATGAAGAGGTTGATATTTTAATTTTTCAAAATTTCATAAAATTGGGCACAACAGATGAAAAAAAAAAAAAATTTTTTTTTACTAAGATTTTCTAAAAAAAACAATTCAAAAATAATTTCATTCATTTGTGAATAAATTCTGAAAATGTTATTAAAATCCAGGAATAATTTGATTTTTGCAAGAATTTCCAAAACAAAGTTTTTTTTTTAGGAATGAGAAGGGGATTTGATAAGTTTTTATGACTCATCAACCTCTGCTAGGATATTTAAAGCTGATACATATTTTGGATTGTAAGAATAATTCTTTTTTGCCAGTGAATATTGCATTAACAATGTTTTGAGAATAACAATGATTTTGTTTAATAACTAACTATAGCTGGAGAGTGGAGATGGAATCATACCTTATAAGAAAAGGAGATGTGAAATGCACATCCAAAAATTCAAAAAGCTACACTGTATACATTAAGTCAAAGTCAGTATTTTAAAATGGAAGTGACTCAAAAGAGAAAATTTATTACAGAAAATTCATTTCAAGAATTGTTAACATTTCAATGTGTGAATAACCATTTTGCCTGAAAGTTTTTTCAAAATTTTCTGTTTGAGTTGCTATGTGTCAATATGACATCAATGAAATTTGCCTTTTAGTTTAATCTACATGAGCTAGTCAATCTTACAATGCAATAGCACTATCAACTTGTGTTATGTGGCATGAAAAAAAAACTGAAAAATCAAATTTTGTATTTATTCAAATACCTCTATTTTAAGCAACTTTTTGAGCAATAACTTTTTATTAATCTCCATAGCATCAGATTTCATTGTTTTTGTTGTATAATGTAGATTATTTTGCTTTCCGAAATGCTTAGAATGCATCTCCATCATTGAATACAGTTTTATTCCAAGTATCTGCATGTTTTCAGTCTTCTTAGACCAATTTCATTTTTCTTTCAAATGTTTTTTAGTTTCTATTTTATTTTTTTTATTATTTCACTCCAGGCAAGGTGATAATGCCACTAGGATACAATGGGATTACTCGGAATGATAAAGAGTGAGGACAATAAAAAAAGTATTCAGGAAGACAGGAGATGGCAATTGGCATTGCATTTAAATTTTTGAAGATTGTTGGTGGCAGGGAAGCAAGAAATCGGAAGAGTTCCACAGGTGAGATGTGTGAGAAAAGAAATTATAAATATAGAACATATGGTGAGACATAGTTGCTAATTTAGTAATATGATTAAATTCATGCAGTTGAGGCACCATGGAGGAAAGCTTGCCAAGAAAATATTTGTAGAAAAGACAGATGGAAGCCATGTCACATAGGTGAGAAAGTGACTGAAGTGTTAAAATTTACAAGCTATTCCTTACCCCAATTAAACAATGAGTGGAGGTCCTTTTTTAGAATAGTTGCCTGTTTTACTTTGTTGAACCTGTTGAACTTGCTACTAAGACAGGAGGAAATAGTTGCGACATCAGAATAAATTCCTAATTGGGAACTGATGACATTGGAAAGGTTATTGATGAAGATCAGAAACACCATAGGTCCAAGAATAAACCCTTGGGTGACACTCGCATTAATCTGAAAAAACTAGAAGTGTGTCCATTCAACATGACCTCCATTACATGATGCATTGGAAATGATTGGATTAAGCTAAATATTTGTCCTAAGACACTATAGACCTTGAGCTTGTGGAGAAGGTCAGCATGCCTATCAAACACCTTTGAGATAGCTAGAACCACAACCCAAACTTTGCTGGTCTTATCTAAAGCATGATATACAAAATCAGTGATAGCTGTTAATTCATCAGTGGTTAACCTGGAGAAACAGAAGCCATATTGTTATCTAAAAGGAGTCTGTGTGAAGTGAGATTCTTAACTGTTATGCAATCCAAATTCTCAAAGGATATGATTAGCATTATTTAAGGACATTAAATTCATCTATCACTTGATTTTGACTAAGCCTTATTATCCCAATTAGTTTCCATTCTGCCACTTTTGAGAGCTTTGTCAACTCAAAACATGTCCAATGCTTTGAAACTTTGACAAGATTTTTAAACTGTTTGAAACTCCTTAGCAATTTCTTGTTGTCTGCCATCTCCAATATCTCCAATTTGGCTTCTTTGTAAATTTCCATTAGGATCTTAAGCAATGAAAGAATACAGATATTCAAAGTCAGTTTTGGTTACATTATTTAAAAAAGTGAAGTGGACAAATCCATTTTTTAAGACTAGTCTCCCATCAGCTTCTCATTCAAGAATAATTAAATAATTATGTATGAAATGACTCAAATATGGCAATATTTCACCTGTAAAAGATAATGTCAAATATGCCTTTTGTATACTAGTTTAAATAAAAAGCACTGTATTTCATTTTGCAATTTTATTATACAGATATATATATAAAAAAAAAAAAAAATCACACTTCTTAAATTTTATTTAATTTAAAAAAAAAAAAGAAGATAAATAAAGAATATTTCTTTAGGTACCTCCACTTTTTCACTGAAAAACAGCATAGCATGATGAAAAAGGTCCCAAACTTAATAAAAACAAAGTTTTATTGTGACAATGTTTATGTTATTATTAAGAAGAAAGACCAAAGTATTATTTTATTAAATTTTTTAATCCTTTCTAGCATATTTGAAATTTTGGTTTAAAAACTTTTTTTTTTTTTTTTTTACATCAGTGCTTGATATAAGATTAGTGTTTTTGCACTTTTTTTCAATGAAAACACACCGATTTGGAACTTCTTTACAAAAATCAAATAATTGTCAGATTTTAATGAAACTTTCAGAACTTATTCACAAGTGAATGAAATTATTTTTTAATTTTTATTTTAATTTTTTTTTTTTACATATGTTACACCCCACTTACTTAAGAAATTTTTTATTAGTTAAAAGTAAGCCTATTTTTTTCAAACACATCCCCCAGTTACTGAAAATCCACTCCAAATCATAAATTAAAAAAATGCAATAAAACTATGACATTATTTAATTAGAAAAACCTTTAATTGCTTTTATATATAAGATATATTAAGGTAACTATGATCTTAAGAAAATTTTTTTTTGATGAATAATGAACTTTTACAAAAATGTTTTCATTTTTTAAAATTTTAATTACAATAATTTATAGTAATTTAAAAATTGTTTAAAAGTCTGCATTACTTTATTTCTTTTAGGTGATATTGTAATTAAGTGGAAAAAACTGAAAAGGTTAATAGAAGTTGTTTACCCCAATATTTTTAAAATAACTTTCAACTTTTTTTGTTTAAACATTTCCATTTTTGTATGTATTGTAGTCTATACATGACATTATTATTAAAAAGGTCACATATTGTAAGAGTTGTCCTAATTTTACTGAGAAATTTGCTTGTCTGCAATTCTTTATTCATTTCATATTTATGTCCCAACATCATCCTTTTAAAGTTTTAAAACTTTAAAATAAGTATTAACTTTTTTAATTTCTATTTCACTAAATATTTTTATGTATTTATTTTAGTGTGGGTCATACTCCAATTGAGTAATTTTTTAAAAACTTTTTTAAAAAACAATAACCTAGAAGTTTTTTTGTTAGTAATTCTTTTACTTTTTTAGTTTATTCATTTTTTTATAGCATTTTAAATTTTATTATTTTTTCCAGAAAAACGTAAAGCTATAACACTATAGTAACTAAAAGTCAATAAAATATTAGATAATTGTTGAAAATATTAATTTATAAAAATTACTAGGTAGTTAAAAACCAAAAGAAAATATGCGTTCACTTAGATGTGAATTATGCCAATTCTGGTCATCCATACTTAGCTGTCAACACCTTAGCCCATTAATAACATCAATCAACAAGTTAGAAAAAACAGGAAGCATGGTTAAGAAATGCTTATATACTAAGTTTTATTATGCTATAAGTAATATTTGTTTCAAATCAGATTAATTTAATTTTAAATTTGCTAATTTTCTTCAAATAATGTGTCACAAATATATATTTTATTTTTGGAAGATTTTTAAAACAGATAATTAAATTTTGTTTACAAATATCTTAAAATGTGAGAAAATGGCTGCTTATAATTGATTTTGTGAAAGTGAGCAAAAAATTGACATTCCAGTCTATATAATTTCTATTTGAAATACACCAGAGTATTTTGCTTATTGGAAATTAATCGTTTTGCTTTCAATTAAAGCTAAAATGAAATCTTCAAAATTGATTTTAAACCTTAGGTATCGAAAATTCAGTGGAGGTGCTTATTTGATCAAATCAAATTTGAGTAATACATTGATTTTCACAAGTTGCGATGCATACAGGATTGTAGGGTGGGAGATCAAACAGACTCTTTGAGAATACCTTATAAATAAAAGAATCCGATAGACCTAAATTTCTTGTTAATCTGTTTTGAATGTTCAGTATGTATGTTTTAGGAATTTTAATATTGTGGGTGCAGAATGAAGGAGAATAATGTAGGGTTAAAGACTAAGAATAAAAAATAAATCTAATAAACAGCCACACAGGTTTTTTGAAATATATAGTATTACTGAAATATGATATATTTGAGAGGGTCAGTTGATAGTTACAAGTCCTGCAAGAAAAAAAAAAAAAAAAAAAAAAAAAAAAAAAAAGAAGTAGAATATGGCAAGGTCTTTTCATTGCTCTATGAACTGACTTTTGAGTCATTGGTCTGGGAATTGAGTTTTTTTCCCACAAAATTCAAATGAGATTTTTGGCTTGGTAGCAAAAGGCTGGGATAAGAAAGTTTTCTCACTTACTTTCATCCTCTCCATCATTGACAAGTAGTCAGCAAAATTTCCCTACTGGGGATAATAAAAATAGCCAATACAGACCATGTGCTGTGCTATTTATTACAAGAAAATTTTTCTCCTAGAGAAAAGACGGCTAATTTGACTTTAAGAAACAGTGTGACTATAGTTCATTGGCCTGAAAACAGTTGTGAAGACTAATGCAGTAACAGCACCACTATGGCTTAATATGAAGCAACAACTGTAGTTGACTAAACATCAATTCAAGCAACATGTGATATAAAAATGTCAGAGAATATTTTAAAGAATGTAAGTAGTACTTTAATTGCAGTAAAACTGTCAGAAGGTTTTACTGCAACTGTATAGAGACAAACTTTTTAACATTCATAAAAGAAAGATTTTTTTCATATTTACATATTTTAATCATGAACTAAATAAAAATATATTTTAAAATAGATTCTTTCCAGTTTTTAACAAAAACTAAATCATAACAATTAGTGACAAATATTTTTTTTGTAAACTTATGACAAGAGAATAAATCAAGCAAACTTACTTGGACTGTAATCTACAATTATTATTCCACACTTGGCCAAAAGAAGGCAACCAGAAGTCAGATTGTGTGAATTTTTCATCTAAATTGGCACCAACTCGTTCCTGAGGAAGCTTTTGTCTCCTCTGGTTTTTTACTATAATAGAAACGTTATAGAACAACATATATCAAAATAAAATTTCAGAAAAGATGTTGCACAATGTGTGTGTGTGTGAGACCCATAAAACAAATGACATGATTAAGTATGGAACAGAAACAGTTGTTAAACACTTCTATTTCCTTTCTTTCTTTTATTTTCTCACTGAAATCAAGTAATGTCTTTTTCTTTCTAGTAAAATCCCCAGCTTACAAACATGTCTTTTAATAATAATTTTAAAATAATTCAAAAATGGTTATTTTATTTAATTTATAGTAATTGAATTTTTGATGATTGCTTTGCTCAGTTTCTGTTATTAGATACTGTGCATCTGAAAAATGGTGCATTTATTGTGGTTGCCATTACTTCTTGACCATTTGGCTGAGATCAAAATGTATGTATCAGCTTAATTTGATTCTCTTAAAATTCTCTCTACTTCTATCTTTTCTTCTTTCTTTCATCTTCTCATTGAAATCAAGTAATGTCTTTTCTTATAAAGTAAAAAGTAATTTTACTAATTATAAATGAAAAAGCTTAATAAAATTAATCAACCCCCAATATTTTAAAAAGAATTTTGAAATTTGTTTTCTGTATAAACATCTTGATTATTGTAAATACACTCATCTATACATGACATTATCAGAAAATAATTGCAATGACTATAGTAAATTTAAAGCCAAAGTACTTAAAATTCAATAAAATATTATGAAGAATATTTTCCTAAATTTTTAAGATTACTGGACAGTTAAAAATTATATAAAAAAATGCACTCACATTATAATTAAGTAAATCAGATAAATTTTACAAATATGTCCACTGAAGAAAAAAATGAAACTTCTGTCTGTTAGTCAAATGTCAACACCCTAAATAAACAGCTACCACTGTGTTAAAAAAATGTATTTCTGTGATATTTTAAACTTAAAGCTATATTTATTTCAAATCAGATTAATTAAACTTTAAATCAGTCAATATTCTGCAATTAGAGTTTCATAAAAGTGTATTTTATTTTTGAAAGATTTTTTAATAAAGAGAATTATATCGTGAAAGATGACTAAAAATGGCACTAAAGTCAGTGATGTTTAGCAATTTCAAAATGAAAACTCCTCCCGGTCAATTTTAAATTAGTTTTGAAATACAATAAAGTATTTTGCTTATTGGAAATATTAAATTTAATCTGTTAGCTTGAAATCAAAACTAAAATAAAAGCTTCAAGAAAGATTTTTCATTTTTAAAAATTCATTTTAAACTGTAGGTATTGTGTTTCTGTGGCGGTACCTACATCAGCTGAGCTGTCATTATGACTGGAGCTTCTCAGGAAAATTCAAGATCTTTAGTTAACATGAAAATGTTAAGAGTCATACAGCTCGTTGAGAAAGTGCAAGAAATTTAACTTGCATTCCTTAAAGGAGAGTTTCCAGCTCATAAAAATTATTGATTACTTTAAAAATGATAAATTTTATATTTATCATTTTCAGAATTATCATAATTTTCAGTATAATTGTTCCCTAAGTTTAGGGAAAACAACAAATTCTTTGCCACTGGTTGTCTCATTCATAAAATGTACATTACTGGTGACATTACAATATTACTTAAATCATAATTATGAGACAGTAAAAACTATAAATCAGAACTGGTTAAGTATAAAATTATTACTAGTGGCAATTGAAAATGTCATAACAGTTCAAACAAATTCCCAATATTTGTGACCAGTAAACAAATCAAGAAATGGCTAAACTGCATACTACAAACTGCAAATTTGTAAGGGTGGGGAAATGATTTGATTATTATATAGAAGCCACCATAAATGTTAAATTCACACCTTTTTGTAAAAAAAAAGATTTACAGTAAGTAATTTTAATTTTTTTTTTTAAAGTTGATGTGAACATTTCTTTTTACATTCCATAGGTTGACAAATGAAAGTAAAACTTTACCAAAGTAATATTTTACATAATTCTGTAATTTAGAATTTTCCTATTAAAAAGACATAATTTTGACTTCAGATTGTCTTCCAAAAATATTAAATAGATTTTAATTCTTTGTGGAAACCTCCTTTAAGAGCCATACAACTTATTTCAGATCAAGCAGAATTTTATTTTTCATAGGTAGATTTAAATTAAAGGAAAAATATTTCTCCGTCCACATTATTTTTAAAGGAAATATTTGACTAAAATTAGTCATTGATGTAATTAAGACAAAGTGTAGGACTAAGAATTTTATATCAGAATATTCTCAAAACTTTTTTTTTTTTTTTTTTTTTTTTTTTATTCTTAAAATTTTCTTTTTTATAAAAATTGATTTCATGTTGCTGATTTAAAATTGATTTTGGTTTTAGTTTTCAATCTTGCTAAACCAGTAGGAATATAAGTTATGGATTATTTGGCAGATGGAAACAGCATTGAAATCTACAGACAAATTTATGATGTTAAAAATGGTTGGATTGAATTTGTATGAAGAGAAAACACAGAAATTGTTATAGGTTTGTGCCAATTATTAATTCAAAGGGGGACAAAAAGATTTGATAAAATCTTACAGAGAAAAATGAAACATTTTCTTACAATAGTTTTCAAAATCTCCAAAAGTAGGTCCAATTTTATTGTTAAGTGGTTTAACATTTTGTAGCCATGGAGGTAAAGCATTGGTAAATATATTTCCTGTTCCATGATCAATTGCATCCTATATAAAAATCCCAAAAAAACAAAACAATGAATTACAATGAAATTTTACATGTCAAAGATAACTGCTAAAATTTTAAAAAGAAAATAAATCTTAATTGTAAATTCAAATATTTTTGTGAAAGTTTGAGATTATAATTAGTGGATAAGGATTAATCTAACATTTGAACATAACTTTTTTGTTAATGCATAGAGAATATATAAAAAATAATATTTTTGTTAACAGCTAAACATTCTAGCTTCATGAAGTATTTCTCAAACAAAATAAATTCAATTATTTTAACTAATGATATTTTTTGTAGATGAAAAACAGGGAAAAACTATATGGGATGGAAAAATATCACAATTATTGCTTTGTTGCTCCTCTTTAGGTTTTTATAATAGTCTGATTTTTTTATGCCTGGACTTCATATTAGGTCAAACTTTCTTATTAAATAGCAGTTGACAGATCATAATGGTGCTTTGTTATGGATCATTTTTTTTCCATTTCCTCCATAAATTTTCATTTGGATTGAGATCTGAATTGTTAATGTTGACGTGCAACCCCATATCATAAATCATTGAATAAATTTGCTCATTTTCTTCAGGAAGTCATCTTTATGTATTTTATTAGAACCACAGGATTCATTACTTTCATGCAATCATCTACACTCCATTTTTTTAATTTCACTTTCCTCAATGTATATCTAGTTTGCATGTTTATATTTGTGCAGGTTTTTTGTTTTTAACAATAAATGCAAATGACAAGTTGATGCTATAATTTTTTTTACTTAATCTGGAAAAAATATGACATAAATTTAAATAATTGAATCTATAGAGTAATTGGCCGTGATTAAATGTAATTGGCAAAAATGCTCAACAAATGGAACTGACAAAGCCTCCAGTATACAATAAGAAAAAAAGTGTTTATTCAAAGTGTTTTTTGTGTAAATGCAAGAATCTGCTAAAGAGCAGGAAAAGCCTTGGCCACTTAAATACATGTGTAAGACATTATTCCAATTTCACCCACTTTGTTTAAGTTTTTAATTGCCATACAAGTTTGTCTTTATTTTTGTTGTTGAACTTATACTTTTCAGTCAATTGGTGCATTTAATTATGCAGGTTTTACATCCGTTTGGTGGAGAAATAAATTGTGTCAAATAATTGCATTAAAGTCCTTACAGATGATAAACATGCTGTGGGGGAGAAAGCTTCATTATAATCTATTCCAGCTTTGCAACAAACAGAGCCTTGTATTGTTTGTTGCCATTTTTATTAGTTTTAATAGTTCAGACCCACCTATTTCCAACAAGGGTTTTACCAGTCAGGAGTGTAGTTAATTCATATGTATCATTCATTTTTAGAGCATTCATTTCATTTTCCATGGCCTCACACCATTTTGTAGAGTCATTTGAAGTAATAGCTTCAATGTAAGAACAGCAATAATCTATATTGAGACTTTTTTTTTTTTTTTACTTTTTTGCTTTCTGTAATATATGTTAGGTAAGACTCAATTCATCATATCCTATGAAAACTGCTTTTTCAAATTTAGTGGTTAGATTCTCTGGATAGAGCCCACATCTCATCATTACACTGGACTAGCAAGTTTAGCAGAATAAATTGTAATAAATAGACAAAGCTGAATATTAACTTTAGAAGCTTTATTCTGCTAAATTGAATTGTTAGTAATTAGATGGCTTTTGTACAGAATGGTTAGTATTGAAATAGGTAGATTGGGATAGTTCATTATTATCACAATGTGTGACAGTATCGGGTGAATTGAAATTATATTGCTTTGAGAGGGAATTATTTGCTGAAAATTCCAATTTTTATTTCAGCAGTGCTCTTATGGCCTGGTTTACTACATGCAAAGCATGTGGAGGCATTATTACTTTGTGGCTTTGGTCTTGGCCTTTCAAGAGCCATTATGGTATTTTCTTTGTTATTCTCTTCAATCATCTTTTCAGTTCCTTCGAAACTTCATAATACTACTTTAAATTTATGGAACATTATTATTTTATCTTTCTGTGTAATTGTTGTGGTACGATACACCTAATTTACATAAGTGGAGTACCGACCATATAAATATGGGTTGGTACCGGGAAGACGGGGGGAGTAAGAAGAGATCGAATCCAGAGACTCTGCCCGACTGCGATTTAGTCAACCCATTCTGCAGGAACAGTCTTCCCAAGAATATACCAAAACTAACTGTAAATATTGTGTACCTTTTCCTTGTTTCAATACATTTTGTTTACGTACATTTTGTGTTGTATTATTATTATTCCATGCTTATCCAAGTTTCAACAATGGCGACGAGGTATAAAGAACTTTACGTTACGGAAAAAAAAAGAATTAATAATTGATAGCCTTCAACAATTGGGATAAGTGGAAGAACCCAGGCTGAAGAAAAAAAAAAAATCATTAATTAAAAAGTCAACATCTAATGGAACGGAAAAGTATTCTGAAGTCTGGACAGTTAAAACTAGTTAAAGGACGACTAAGCATAAAGGAACGTTCACTCAGAAAAATCTGGAAGGTGGCGTAAACAAATAATATAATATTCTTAAAAAAAAAAAAAAAAAAAAAAAAGCTGGCCGACTAAAAAAAAAACATGCATGGAATTAAAAGGAGCACAAATACAATGTGTCGACTTTGAAAGGTAAATGTCACTTGTAAAAAAAAAAAATTTGTTTATTTTTTTTTTGTTTGGTTGCTTCAACAATATTTTATAAAGCAAGACATAAAATTAAAAAATGCGTAAGTTGTTTCGATTTTTTTTTGTCTGCTTATAGTATATTTGTGGATACACAATTTAAAAAGTATATTCTTTGTTGCATGAACACTATCAGCTAAAGATGGAGGAATTATCCAAAGTCATAGCTGAATTGTTTAAAGCCCAGCAGTTGAGTCAAGCTGAGTTAGTCAAATCCCAGCAGTTGAGTCTGCAACAACAAAGTGAACAGTTTGCCTTATTAAGAGAACAGCAATTAGCACAGCAGAATTATCAAGAAAGGCAAGAGGAGTTGAGTCAGCAACGTCAAAGGAACAGGAAGAAATGTATGTCAAGGTTTTGAAATTCAAAAGTTAACATTGGAGAAATTAAACAACAATCAGGCAAATGAAAGTAACTCTTCATATTCTAATAACATCATATTTAATTCGTTGGAAACTTTTTTAACTATGTGCCAGACAAAGGAAAAACGTTTGAAGCGTACTTTAAAACGATATGAAGATATTTTCCACACAGACTGTGAAAACTGGTCGAATTCAAGAAAAGTCAGTCTATTACTAAGAAAGCTAGGTACAGCGGAACATAGCAAATTTGTAGATTTTATACTACCAAGAAGAACAAATGAATTGGAATTCTCAGAAACAGTGAAATTGCTAAAGGAGTTGTTTGGAGCAAATATGTCGCTTTGGCATAAGCGATGGTTATGCATGAATGTCGCTAAATCCGACGATCAGGATTACTTAACTTATGCATCGATAGTGAATAGACATTGTGACAATTTCAGATTGGCAGAGATTACGGTTGAAGAATTCAAGTGTTTAATTTTTGCTCAAGGACTGGTATCCAGTAAGAGTGCCGAAATAAGACGTAGGAGTTTTGTCTAAACTCGAATCTGAACAAAAAAATTACCCTGCAAAAGTTAGCAGAGGAGTGTCAGCGGGCGACAAGTTTAAAGAAAAAGAGTCTCAAAAAAATTGAAGAAGCTGGTATTGCTTATATTAAAAAAAGTGAAGAAACAGTCAAATTACACATCAGAAAAAATTGGATTAAAAATTCTTTTAAAAATAGACAAGAAAAATTAAATGAAAAGAATGAGGAGGAAAAAAAAAATGTTCCGCCATTTAATTGTAGACGGTGCAATGGAAGACACTGGGAAGTAAATTGCCCATATAGAAATAAAAAATGTTTCGTGTGCCACAAGAATGGTCACAAAGGGTCGTGTTGTAAAAAATTTAAAAAATCAATAGCCGAATAAGACAAATAAATTCAAATATCAAATCAGATAGAGATTTGAGGAAGTATGTGACGACTGAAATATTTAAAAAAAATATCAAATTTCAACTCGATTCGGGTTCAGATTTAACAATAATGAACTATAAAACATGGAAAATTTTTAAAAAGGCCTACAATAATGAAGTCAACGAAACGCGCTTCAACAGTGACTGGAAAGGAAATTAAATTCAAAGGTGAGGTTGTACTTCCCATGAAATTGAACAGGATAGTTAAAAAAAAAAAAAGTTTTCATTCTGAAAAATGGAGAAAACTTGATGGGTACAGATTTTATTGAAACATTCGAATTGTGGGATAAACCGTTAAACTCTTTCTGCAGAAAAGTAGAAAAATTTAATAAACAAGACAGGACATTAATGAGGAATTAAAGAAAAAGTTTCCGGAAACTTTCACACCTGGTCTTGGAAGATGTAACAAGTTTGAAGCCAAATTTGAATTAAAGGAAAATACTATGCCAATTTTTAAAAAAAACGTAATGTGCCTTTACAGAAGTGTAGAGAAAATTAACGAAGAACTTGATAGGTTGGAAAAAATGGGAATTATTTCGAAAGTAGAATCTAATTCATGGGCTGTGCCAATTGTGTGCATAAAAAGAAATCAAACCAAGTCAGAGTCTGTGTTGATTTTTTTGACAGGGTTGAACTCAGTAATTTGACTACCATTACCGAACCGGAGGAGATTTTAAACAAGCTAAATGGTGGAGTTATATTTTCAAAATTGACTTATGGGTACCTCCACGAGATCGCTAAAAAAGAGCACAGCATGATGAAAAAAAGACGCCAAACTTGACGAAAAAAAAAATTTTATCGTCTAAATGTTTGTTATTCATTAAGAGGAAAGGTCAAAGTATTTTTTGGGGTATTTTTTTCCATTTTTAATCGTTCCTAGCACGTCCGAAATTTTCGTTAAAAAATCTAGTTTTTTTTGAGTCAGCAAAATTGATCATTTTTTTTTCCATTTTAAAAAAAAACTGGAAATCTGACTTTGAAATTTTTTAAATA